AAAATTGTTCAGTATTCCCGGTGACATTGCAAAACAATTAAGCACTCTTCGTTTCAATTATTTTCGATTTCTACTGTGCATTACTCAGTTATAGTAAAATATTTTTCGCTATTTTTTATGCAATTTCGAATTTTTGTAAGAATACAGAAGATGCTTATCACGCTTTAGTGGAGATAAGTCACGTGACGGACTTCTTCCTGACGTCACTCCATACAGTGACGATAACGGAGGTCATGAAGTCTAATTTCAGTTTGATTACAACAACCGATACGTGAGGTTGCTTTCTTTTAGCCTGGATCAAGCGGCCCAGGCTGAAGTTAAATTTGCCTAACCCAACAGCTAACAAGTCCATGGAGCTGATTCCCTTTGGGAATATATATTTCCCTGATATAGAACTCCAGAACTCAATTTGGGAAAAAACCCAAGACACGCTGGATTCCTAAAAATGGCTTCTCCAGATACAGGATTATCTCCATATTATATGTAAGACCCGCACGTTTTTATTCTCCTTGCACCCTTCTTTGCTGTGTCGATATATGTGATATATTTCCTCTATGTGGGACACGTGAATATATGTGCATATAGTTTTGTGTATGTCTTAATAGTATAAAAGAATTTCTGAGAACAAATCATGTTTGTCACTTCGGTCAATGTTTAAACCACTTCTAATATGTGTAAGTATACAGAAGATGCTTATCACGCTGGATTCCTAAAAATGGCTTCTCCAGATATAGGATTATCTCCATATTATATGTAAGTCCCGCACGTTTTTATTCTCTTTGCACTCTTCTTTGCTGTGAAGAAATATTTTTCGCTATATTTTATGCAGTTTCGAATTTTTGTTTCCCATATTTTGTTCTGAAGCTGACCAGTTTAATTTCTGCATCTATTTGATTTTGATGTCCCTGACGTTCAACTGACATAATGTGTCTTCCTTGTGCCTATTCTATAAATATTTTCATGGTAATTGTTCTGATGAGCTTTCCTCTTTGGTAACTCGACATTACTAGATTGACAGCTAAGTCTCATCATCTTACAGATCAAATAGCTTGACGTAACCGTAAGTTCTATGCTAACAGTTCCTTCTCGCTTGTGGAACTCTCTTCCGAATTCTTCCTTGCTTTTATCTTCAAACATTTAAATGCAACGCGAATCATCTTCTTCCATCTCCTTGAATCTTGTTCTTTTAATGTCTTCTCCTTAATAATGATTTTTCTTGTCTTACCTACAGTGAAATGATTAATAAATTATTCAGATGTATATCATTTCTTACTGTTAAATCGACAACCTTCTGAATTTTTCATCAATACAATATCATCTTCGTACCATATAACCGCCATTAATATATCCTCTAATTCTCTTAATCTAATCGCAGTGGAAATGATAAATAAATCCAATATTAAAATATCTCATTATCGTAGTCCTCTTTCTATTTGGATTAATTCATTTGCCTTAATTGACGGCATATAAGATTCACTTAAAAACTTCTAAAGAAACCACCCTGCGTTTTATATACGAAATTTAGGCATTCCGTAGGCTAATTTTATTCCCAACTCGCCAAGAAGCCGCAATCCTAGCAGAATTTAGGCTAGCTCCTGCGGATGGCTTTTGGGCCTTCAGCTTATTACCTTAAGTGTCTTATATACGTAAAAGTTATCATAATTTAGAAATAATAAAACTATTTTATCTTTATTCGACAGCTTAATTCGGCATAATCTTTCTTCGTATACGCAATCGATCACCGTCGTTTGTTCACATTCATTTTTTCGCGCAATTTTTATTTCCTTTTAACCATTCTTTATGATCCCTTAACATAAAGTCACCCTTAATTTAAAATTCAAACCTGAATAAGGTACACTTTCTCTGGTTTGCCCTGCCAGGATTGGTACCTCTGTATTTTCAACTGCTACGCCTTCACAATGTTATTAACCCAAGGTACTGCAACGCCTATCAGGATCCATTCGTTACTCCTACTGTACACAAGTGTGATATCAGGGCGATTATTCTCCAAGCCCATTGTCAGTCAAGATAGTCGTACCCCAGAGAAGCCTTACTTACTCATTCTCGACAACAGAAGATTGTGAATGCTCGTGTCATTTCCCTCCGCATTTGAAGCAAAAGTATTCTGAGGGTTTTTTGATATTGCCCTATCTGTGCTCATTTTGTACCAGTTGAGTGAAGCCACTGTCATAATTTTGCATTTTCAGTAACTTACATTATTATTATTATTATCATTATTATTATTATTATTATTATTATTATTATTATTATTATTATTATTATTCACTATTTAGAAATTCCTGGGCAGTGACAAAGATAGAGTTCTACCGGCGAATGTTAATGAGTACCACGAAGAGAACACGTGATTAAGAAAGAATTATTAAGGAAAAAATAGGAAGGATAAGGAAAGTTAAACTTAAAATCAAAAAATGGACACTTGAAATTTTTGTGACCACATAAATTGAAAAGAGGGCCTGGAAAAAGAAGGAAAGAGAAGCAGGGTAAAACAGCGAGTAAACTACTTAATCTTTTTATGCTAATAAATGACAAAACAAGGACAAAGAAGGATGTTAAAGGATCAATAATTTCTTAAAACAGCAAAACAGGAAATTTTGGAGAGCCATAATCACGTGCGACCTTAAGAGACACGGCATAGTAAAGATTATATAGCTATCAAAATCTTTTCACTGGCTTTCTATGATTTCCCATAACTTTAGTGCAACAAAAATAAACAGGAAGTTGTGGAGAGCTGTGTTCGCCAATGTTCTTAAATGATTTTACTTATATGAACATTGATGCCATATTTGGCTTGGAGCTACCCAATCTTCATTTTCTACTCTTGAAATGGTTTAAGGCGGTATTGTTTAGGATGACTTATTAATCATTATTAAGGACTTATTCTTCTACAGCCTCTTTGCCACAGACACAATCTTACAAAACTATTGTTATTCTATCGCTATTTTCACAGCAAATGTTCAAATGATTTCTTTAGTTCCAACAGTTCAGACCTTTACCGCTGCGACACGTTAGGTTACCTCCACGTAATTAAATCAGCCTCATATTCTTCGTATTCCAAGAAAAGACTCCCTGAACGCTACAATCATAATTTCTTCAGATCAGGGGTCAGTTATTATCTATCCTACCTATTCCCATAATCTTTCACTTTATCATCTACTCTTTCATTCATATCAAATAACATGTGCGTCATTAAAATTTTAACAATAACTCTCCACATTTACTGAGTTACGCTCTAGCCGGGTAAGTTAACGGCGCAGATAATGCCTGCTGAAACGAGGCTAAGCGGACCTTAGTAACTAATGGTTTTCAGGTACTTTCCAAACGTTCCGCACGCTGGAATCGCCTTCCTGACAAATCGACCCTGGTGAGATTCGAACCCGGGTCTCGGGGTCAGAAAGCGAACGTATAAACACTCGTCCACGAGACTTGTTTAAAATTTAGTTTGGTTTGATTTGGTTTGGTTTCTTTTGCAGCATATCAACCTCAATGGGTTATTTAATGCCGACATGTTTATTGCTTGTAATATTTTTATCTATCTATCTATCTATCTATCTATCTATCTCAGTATATATTGGTTTGGTTTGGTTTATTTTACAACAAAATCAACTTCAATGGGTTATTTAATGCCGACAACATTTTTATTGCTGGTAATATTTTGTCTTCAAAAATGTATTGCTGGTAATAATTTTTCCTTCAAAAAATGTATTGCTGGTATTAAAACCTATTTTTACACTTTCTTAGTGTTTTGATCCCAGTTTGGATGATAATTATTTGCCCATAGCTGGGACCCTAACAGGTGCTACCACCCCGGGTCAGGGTGGACTTGGGAACATCTGCTATTTAAAGGTGGTTCCACGCCCCTCAAAATTTCCTGATCAGAGGCATTGCCGTTGGACGTAGTTTATCGTCTTACCCAGGACGCGGACCTAGTTTATCGTCTTACCCAGGACGCGGACGTAGTTTATCGTCATACCCAGGACGGTGAAATTTAGTAGAAAAAATGTTAGACCGTGGTTTATTCGGGAAGGTTATAACGAAGAATCGGGTACAACTTTTAATTAGTATTTTCTCCATTGAAATGCTTCCCTTTACAGTAATAGATACAAGGAAGGATTTTGAATGTTTAGTTTCTAGGTATGGTTTCCCCAGTATATATTCACGCTCTAGTTGACCTTGTGTCAGACTATGCTAAGTAAATGTCACCCTAAAGACCTGAGTACGGATTGTTACATTGATTACTTTTCATTTTTCACAAGAAGCCTCGATCTGCGTTTCGACCATTGATTTTGGTAAATTACAAGCTGTCGCAAGAATGCGAAAAGTAACAACGCAGCTGGGAACATACACACAACAAAAATCCTCGCTTATTTCTCTGTACCAAACGACCCGCGAAACGAAAGAGAGGTTGGCTATTATCTCTCCCAGCTTTCCCAGAACCCGCTTCAGTAAACAAACTTCCCTTTCCACCATTAATATTCGCCATTTAGACACACAGACTCAAAGTTAATATCAAGGCAGTGGAATATCTTAAAACTTCTTAAGCACTTTTGAAGCAGCAGATAGTTTTACAATTGTTCGGCGATTAGTTTATCTCACAGACAATCGGTTACGAGTTCTTCGGTGTATTTCTTTTCATATCGGGTACATAATCCGCACTCCGCCAGGTAAGTTTTCACCGTTAAAAAGAGGGAAAAGTTTGCACGCTATATGGGTAAAAAAAAAATGAGAAATTTCATTTGTAAATTATACGCGTATGTTTTCGTTAATTATATACAAAGCTATAAAAAATTATATCTTAACTCATTTATCAAATAAGGTTATAAAAATAAAGGAAGAGGAAAATAAAGCAAATTAAATATTTTAACAATATGATCCTACTTGAAGAACTCAGTGTACAATGGGGGTTTGCAACAAATTATCCAATTTTTTACTTCTTTTATTTTCGAGAAGCATGCATGTAGCATAGATATGAAGTGACTGACATAGATAGATAGATAGATAGATAGATAGATAGATAGATAGATAGATAGATAGATAGATATGATAGATAGATAGATAGATAGATAGATAGATAGATAGATATGACGAGATAGACAAATATAGATAGATAGATAGATAGATAGATAGATATGACGAGATAGATAGATAGATAGATAGATAGATAGATAGATAGATAGATAGATAGATAGATAGATAGATAGATATGACGAGATAGACAGATATGAATAGATAGATATGACGAGATAGATAGATAGATAGATAGATAGATAGATAGATAGATAGATAGATACGAAAATACTTACATAGTAGATAGATTCGAACAGGTTGAGACAGATAGATCTTCAAGAACGATGCATGTAGACATAGCAATGTCTTTCGATTGTTCTTCTAGTGTGATTTTCAAGAAAATACACCCGGAAACGACATATATAGATATGAAAAAACTGATAGATAGATAGATAGATAGATAGATAGATCTATCCATATATCTGTGTGTTTATGTATGTGTGAAACATTGAAATGAAGGCCATACTTTTCGCAAACCGCCTTTAGAGCTGCACCACGTTCTTGTCAAATAAGAAGATTCTGCCAATACATTTTCCCTTCCAAGTGAAACTCGATAAACATTATGATCTATCGTCTTTCTACAGTGCTAAGAACTAGCAAAGTTTTTGTTTTTGTTCCTGAACTGTTTTTTTTTGTTGTTGCTGTACTCTTAAAGCTTACTGATTCTTCTCTCTCTATCTCTCTCTCCCCTCTCCCTCCCTCCCCCTTCCCTCTCATCCTCCTCTCTCCCTCCCTCTCTCTCATCCCCTCTCTCCCCCTCCCATCTCTCCCCCCTCTCTCATCCCCCTCTCCCTCTCTTCCTCTCCCCCTCTCTGTGCCTCCTTTCATTTCAACTTTTTCTTCATTATGCCTATTTCCTTTCTCTTTCTTTATTTAAGTTTCTTTTGGTCTCTTTTATCCTTATGAATAATTTACTCATGTTTTCTTTTCTTTTTTCTTTGTCTTTTTTAGGAATTTACAAATATTAGCCAAGTCAGGCTCAAGGTCAAAATTTCGGATGCACCCTGGAAGGAATGAACTGACTACGGTCATCTGGTCAAACAAAGCATTGTTATAATTTTTTTTCTTCATTCTTTCATCTTTCGCATTTTTTTCTATTTTTCTTTTTCTATTTCTTTTTTCCTACTTTTTCTATCTTTCCCTGTTGTTTTCTTCCATTCTTTTCCTTCTTTTTTAATTCTAAAGTTTTTTCTTTACGTCTGTTCTTCCTTAAACACGTTTTTTCTTACTTTTTCTTCTCTTCAATATTTTTTCTTTTCCTGCTTTCCTTCTTTTTTTTCTTTTTCCTTTCTTCTTTCATCTTTTCGTTCATTCCTTCCCTTTTCTTTTTTTTGTTCTCTTCCTTCTTTTACTTGTCATTTAGATCTTTTCTTTTTTTCTCTTTTCTTCTTTTCTTCTCCTTTTTCTCTTCTCTACTCTTCCTTCTCTTACTTTCCTTCTCATCTTTCTTTTTCTTCATTTTCGCATCTCTTCTTTGTCTTCCTTTTCCCGCCTTTCCTTTCTTTTCCTCGTTTCCTTCTCTCTTTCTTCCTTTTTCCCTTTTCTCTCTTTCTTCTTCCTTTTTCTTTCTCCTCCTCTTTTTTCTTCTTTTTTTCCTCTTCTCTGCCTTTTCCTTTCCTCTTTTTTTTATCTTTTTCCTTCTTTCTTCCTTTTCTTTTCTTACCTTTCTTTTTCTCCCTTTCCCCTTCTCCCTTTTCATTGCTTCCTTTTAACGTTGTTTTCTTTTTTCTTTTGTTTCTTTTATTTCTTTTTTCTTTTCCTAGTTCCTTCTTTATCTCATTTTCAATTCTAAATTCCCATTAATAGCTTACTCATTTGCTTTTCTTTTTAACATTTCAAGTGTTCCTTACCTGTTTTTCTTCCTTCCAATTCCCTTTTCTTCCATGTTTTTTTTTTTTCATTTGTCCATTTTTATCTTGTTTTACTTTTTCTCCACAAGCTTCTTGCCATCATTGTACCTTTTTTTAAATCTTTTAATATTTCCATTCAGATTCCGTGTCTATTACAGAGCAAGGGTTAAGGAACTATTTTGACATGACCCTTCATTGTAGAAGTGAATTATATTCCCACTAAATACTCTATTAGCCAGACTAACCCATTCTTAGAAAATATCAAAGTACCTCTTCTGTATTTTTCTGTTTGACCAGACTGTCTCCCAAACCGATTGCTAGATCGAAATCTCGCTTGAGTTTAACCTTCCATGTCCTTATGCCGGACTTAGATAAGCGTTGGTAAATAAGCACACGGACTACTTCCTCAGTGCGATTAGTCGCATGTTTTGTACAGAAGCCAAGGTTTGTTAGACATAAATAATGGATATTAATTACTAAATTTCAGTTCAAGCATGTCATCATTTGCAAGATTTTTGCACTAATTTTAAAAAAAAAATTCCCCTCTTTTTATTTGGCCTTGTGCCAAACTATGCTAAATGTGGTTAATATCAAGAACCGCTGATACGCATGCGCCTTTGGTTCACGTATTGAAACTTAATAAGATTTTCTTCTCTCTCTCTCTTTCTCACTCTCTCTCTCTCACACACACACACACACACATACACACACACGTCTTTCTTCTTTCTTATTCTCATCCATCTGTTCTTGTTGTTACACGGTGGTTTGTCCAAAGAGTTTAGTGAATTTATGTAAACCATTTATCATCAACCATGAGATGCGAACAACTGACACTCACATTTATAACGCTATTCTCTGTCGAAGGGCGATGGGGATGGAAATCGATCTCGAGGTGATCAGGAGAACAAGAAAATCGATGATTAAGTAAATAGCAATATCGGGAAGTGTACATAAGACATATTTATGGCTTTCATAAGGCTACAAAATTAGAAGAGATTCGCTTCCTATTGAAGTGACCAAGTTTGGCTATAAATTCTCAACGGTATATTTAAGATACAAAGAACCGAAAAGGTGTCCCAACCTCTTTCTGCTTTTAGTCTCTTCTCTCTGTGTCCGATGCTCTTGCACGCTCGTTCCGATTCTAGGTCTGATTCTCTCTCGTTCTTTCCCATTCTCTCCGAATCTATCGAAGTCTTTCACTGTCTCTCACCGACACAATTTATATGCGTGCATTTCATTTGAATCGCTGACTGAATCTATTATTATCTCTTTCTTTCTTTCTTTCTTTCTTTCTTTTTTTCTTTTTTTCTTTCTTTCTTTTTTTCTTTCTTTCTTTCTTTATTTATTTCTCTTCCCCCTCTCTCTATCTCTCTTTTTCTCGAATCTTTTTTTGTGAGTCATTGTCTAACGCTCCTATTATGATTCTCAATCTCTCAGTCGGAGACCGTCTTAGTCTCTATCACCTTCCATGTAATTTTTTAATACGTTCCCGTTGAATCACTCCCTTATTCCCTCTCTGTCTCTCTCTCTCTCGCTCTCTCTCTCTCTCTCTCTATATATATATATATATATATATATATATATCTCAGACTGATTTTGTGAGTCTCTCTACGTTTGTCCAATTGTCTTTCTGAAGCTCTCAATCGGAGATTATCTGAGACTCTATCACCTTCCGTCTAATTTCTTAATACGTCCTCGTTGACTCTCTTTTATCCGTCCTCCGTCCTCTCTCTCTCTCTCTCTCTCTCTCTATCTGTCTTCTCTCAAACTTCTCTTTGTGAGTCTCTCTCTACCTTTATCCTATTCACTTTCTGAATCTCTCAGTCGGAGACTATCTGAGCCTCTATCAACTTCCGTCTAATTGCTTAATCCATTCTAGTTGAATCTCTCTCTTATTATCCTTCCTCTCTCTCTCTCTCTCTCTCTCTCTCTCTCTCTCAAACTTCTCTTTGTGTGTCCCTCTCGACCTTTGTCCTATTCTCTTTCTGAATCTCCCAGTCGGAGACTCTGAGTATCATCTTCCATCCAATTCTTTAATACAGTTTCGTTGAGTCTTTCTCTTATACGTCCTCCCCCTCTCTGTCTTTCTCTCTCTCTCTCTCTCTCCTCTCTCTCTCAGACCTCTCTTTCTGAATCTCTGTCTACCTCTGTCCTATTCTATTTCTGAATCTCTCAGTCAAAGACTGTCTGAGTCTCTATCACCCTCCGTCTAAATTCTCGTTGAATCTCTCTAAATTGCTTATTCCCCCCCTCTCTCTCTCTTTCTCTCTCTCCATCTCTCTAAATATCTCTAAGTATTTTTCTTACTCTTTATGCTTTTCTAAAGTCCACACTCCTTATCTCAGATTCAAAGTTATACCCTTTTTACTGAGTTTCTTTTGAAATATCTACCACGGAATATTGGTTTTAACAACATAAAAGATATAAAGATGATACTGTGTTGTTAATAGTCACAGAAAGGAAACTTGTGGAACTTCTAAAGTATGTAGTATAGGAAAGCAAGAAGAAAGGAATAAACATCAAGAAGACAAAATGTATGGATGTCAGCGAAAAGAAGAGACCAAAATGTGATCTACAAATTGGAAATACCAAATCTAAATACGTACAACAATTTAAATAGCTGGGAAGTATTTTAACAGAGGACAGAAATAGTGACACTGAAAATCCGATGCCTTATAAAAGCTAATCAAAATATTAAGAAACAGGAAATTTTTGTTAGAAACAAAGAAAATCGTACTGTTATGTAATATCAGTGAATCTTGGACAGTCAGTGAATGTTGGACAATCTCCTCGCAGATAACAAAAGAGACTTGAAGCAACAGAGTTATATAGAAGTCTGTTGAGAATACCATGGACTGAACTTGTGATTAACTACGAAGAAGATATCGTTAGGGAAGATAAAAATGACACATATACTTAAATCTCTAAACCACATAACGAGGAATTTAACCATACCAGGGTCTTATTGAAATCAAGAAGGACAGAAGGAAGCAATAATCTCCCAAACCTAATAACTGGTTAGTATTAAGAAGTATAGTAAAATGAATCACCACACAAATGACATGAAAGAGCTATGATCCACACATGCTAAAAGGACACGTCACAAATATATTTAGGTGGAAGTCATGACCATAAAAGAGGGAGAAAAACTCTAAATATTCCCCTCAATACCTGTACTGTACTGATGCGGCATTCACCCTGGGCGGATTGAGCCGGCTTCTTCCTGTTATGAGAAGAAGATTCTTGGGATAAATTAAAGAAGTAGGGTACCCAGGCCTACTCGGATAACGTTCTTGCTTGCCGCGGGGTTCCCACAGACGCAGAGACAGGAACGACCAGAAGCCGCCGGTGGCCGATACAGACGCTCCTTGGATTTTCACCAGAGCCCTTGTTAGCCGGCGTGTGTGTCAGACCTGTCCGCCTTGGGTGGCCCTCCCAGGAACGAAGTTCCGGGCGGCATAGCTCTGACACTACCGTTTACACCCCCCACCGACTGTGAGGTAAGGGTTGGACCTTGGGGGCTTACAGTACCAGGTGTTCCCAAGCGGTCCCCCATCTAACTACTGAC